ATTTCTTTTAGGTGTATACTCATTTGAGTTTGATATAAAACTCATTTGAGATCAATAGCTGCAATGATTCCTCAACAATGAATTAGACTCCCTTTATTTCCCAAAATCAAAAGTTCAAATAGCAAAACTACGTTAGATATATAGAGAAAAAGAAAGAGAGGAAAGAAAGGCAGAGGAGGAGAGGTAATTATGCAGGAGTCGGAGCCGGAGCCGAAGTCGCTGCCGCTGCGTTTGTGCCGGAGGAGAAGAGGTGACTGGTGAGAGGCGGCCACAAGCAGCGAACTGAAGGAGAAGGGGATGAACAGCGATGACGGTGAGCCTGATGCGAAGTCGGATTGAAGAAGAAAACGAAATCGAAGAAGTCTGGAGCGAAGCTTTGTGCGATGTTGGAGCGTAGAAACCTGGTGAGCCGTGCAGATTGAAGAAGCGCAGATCCAATTAAGTCCGGCTGTACCGTGCGCACGGTACAGCCGGCTGCACCATGTATTTTACGTTAAATTACCTTTCTTATTGATGAGGTGTCCACGGCGTTTTCAGCTTCAACAATTGAGTCATGGTAGATTCTATGGTACTCACAAGGTACCATACCTTTGTCCACATGGACCAATGATAATATTGCAGTTGAATTATTTAAATCTAAATTAAAAATGATAAAATGATGTGATCCAATCAAATGAATGGTAGGTACGGTACCCCAATTTTTAAAAGGGTACCGGAGTTGTCACCTTGAGTCATAACTCAGAGCATCTCCAATGCTATAATGTGCACGGTGCACATGTGGCATGAGTGATAGCCACATAAATATTAGCAAATAAATCATATCTCTCCTTATTTGAATGATTTTATACAATTTTGGTAAGTTTTTCCCTGTAATGTCAACAACAATGTCAACATCTAGACGGTCTCCTTGACATTGTAGAGAAAAACTTACCAAAACCGTATAAAATCATTCAAATAAGGAGAGAAAGAATTTATTTACTAATATTTATGTGGCAATTTCTCATGCCACGTGTGCACCGTGCACATTTTATCATTGGAGATGCTCTCATAAGGTAAAGAAAATGGAGGTCGGACGTATTATTCTCTGGCCGATAATTTGAAATGTTATCTGATATTTGCAATGGTGACGTGTAATATGGTCAGAGAGAAGCAAAACATTTGAATTAAATGGGCAGCATGACTGGGTAAAATATATCGTACGGCCGGTTGTACTGTGCGCACGGTACAACCGGCCTTTTTTTTGGATTTGTGTCGCTTCGCACCCTTCTGCACATCGGCCGCCGGAATTTCTAGCCAAGCTCAAGAGTCCTCCTGCAGAGTTGCTCCTTACAAGAAGAAGCCAACCACCGCCATAGAGATCTAGACAACTGTGAGACTTGTTGTTCCTGGTGATTTGGCCAAAAATACTTCCAAACTTCAATTCCTCTGTTTCTCTTCCGCCATGCTCTCTCGTTGTATGCTCTGCTTCTCATTTTGTCTTTTTCATTTTTTCTGCTTTTGTTTTTCATTTGTATTTTCTTTCAAAAATTAGCTGCCGCACGTCAAGAAGATGGTTGCTACGCTGTGCCGCTGCTATTTGGGGACATATGCTAATCTGCTATTTGACACCTTATGATTTTTTTTAGATTTTAGTTGAATGCTTTTAGTTTTATGGGGATTTTTGGGTTTTGGAATTTGCTTGACTACTATTAGGTGTAATTTCATTGGATGTATTGATGCTTCTTTATGTTATTATTATTATGAATATATGAGCATACACAAATGTATATTTGAGCACACTACATATATCAAATGAGTTTTTGAATTTTCGATACTCATTTTGTAAATTATGTATGCTCATTTGATCTCAAATGAGTTTATATTAAACTCAAATGAGTATACACATAAAAGAAATGAACATACACAACTGAATATTAAGCACATTATAAATGAGTTTTATGTTAAAATCAAATGAGTATAACGCCCAAAGCTAATGAGCACACAAACAGGCTTTTGATTTTTTTTTTTTTATAATCATTTTGTAGGATATGTATGCTCATTGGGTACTGCTTTATGCTCATTTTAAAATGTCGCACATTTCAAACGTATCATATTACATTAGATTTACATATTGAAATTAATTGCGATTAATTACAGACATAATTTAAGAGTTTTTATAAACGAAAAAAATAATAAAAAGAAAGTGAATTAGATGATGTAAATAATGTATACTCATTTTGTAAAGATATTATGCTCATTTTAAAATGTCATATCTATACATACTTCAATAGTACCATATTACATTGGATTCACGTAAGAGTCGATTATAGATACGAGAGCACATACAATGATACTCAATTACATGTTTCTAATACTCGATAGAAGATGTTTGATGCTCAATGGAAATGTATGGAAGCTCAACTAAAAATACCTATGATTTTCATACCAATGATCATTTTATAAGTTATGTATGCCCAACGAGTACTCATGTTATGCTCATTTGTAAAATGTCATATCAATGCATATTATAAAAGTATCATATTAAATTAAATTCGTATATTGAAGTTTATAAGAGTTGATTATAGATATAATTTAATACTCCGTAAGTTTTTATAAAGAAAAAAATAAGGAAAAGAAAGTAAATTCGAAGAGATGAAGCCGAGATCACAATGCTCATTGTTAGGCTTCTAATGCTCAGCAAAATATGTCTGATGCTCACTAGACGTGTTTTAATGTTCATTTAACAGGATACGCGAATTTCGTGTAAATTACTAAAATGCCACCGGCTGCATGGTTCTCACCATACAGCCGATTGTACTATATAGGCTTCTGCATGACTGAATGGTAAATTGTGCCTTATTGATCTTCCCACAAAAAGGCTTTCCTATCTTTTGTACTTCCTCCGTCCCAAATATATTGTCCCGATTTACCTTTTCGGGAAGTTCCAGTTAAATTGTCTCATATCATATTTGGCAAAGTTTGTGTGGCTCTAAATCATTCTTACTTTATTCTTACTTTATCAATTAATATCAATCACACAAACCCACTTTTCTTAATAATCGTGTCACCCTCTCCCGGGACAATATAAATGAGATGGAGGTAGTACAAAAAATCAAAATACGGAATGCTATTTTTGACTTATGAAAATAATGATTTCCTTCTAATTTTGAAAAATTGATTAATTATTTTAGAGAATAAATGAAAATGAATAATAGTACAAATGAGTTTTTTTCAAAAGAAAAGCAATTCTAAAAGTCTTTGTTGTGAATACACTTTTTTGTAATAGAAAAGTGAAAAACAATTCGAAGTACTATTCTCCAGGCTGTAATTTCAGTTTTTATCTTTGAGATGCTTAATTTTAATTAGAAATGCATGTTTGAAAATAGGGAAAATGGAAACTAATAATCCAACCTTTTAGCGGTCTTCTTACAATAATTCCACCTTTTCGTTATTTATGAATAATTCAACCTTTGCACCACATCTTCATTCACGGGTCCCTGACCGGTTGATGACCTGCTATTCCAAGTTATTTTCTTATCTTTGCAAACAATTATACCATAAATCTCATCTTTCACAAAGATAATATTTTGAAAAGATAAGAAAATAACTTGAAATAGCAGGTCATTAACCGGTCAGGGACCAACGAATGAAGATGAGGTGCAAATGTTGGATTATTTTTGAATAACGAAAAGGTAAGACTATTGTAAAAAGACTGTTAAAAGGTTGGATTATTAGTTTCCATTTTCCCAAATTATAAATGAGCTTCTTAGATGTTGGAGCAAATTCTAATGTTTATTTTTGTTTGGTCTTTTAATGGACTATTAATTACTATGTTTAGAGTAACATTTGGCTTAAATGCTTGATCGATGCTATACATGTATATTGTGTGTGGTGTTCGTTTTGAAATTAAATTTTGATAATGTTGGGAAACAAACATAACACTTTCAATTCAACTCATAGTTAAGTATTCTAGATAGGTGAAAATTCCAAATTTGAATTATTATGACTTCATATGTTGTACTTTTAAAGCAATTGGTGCTTTGTGGTCTGCTTTTACTTTTTGTTCATATCAACTTTGATTCATATACGATTTGTATCAGTAGTCATGTTCATTAGTATTTTGTGTCTTCAATACATATATTGAAGATAAAACATCTTTGATATATTAAAACTATCACCCAATTTTTAAACATATACTATATGAGTTAAATGTACTCACAACAAGTGTTCCAACAAAAGCATATAAATATTGAAAATATGAGTCACACAATTATTTAACTGCATCTACATTCCCCACGTTAAATACTCTTTCGAGTGCATGTAATTGAGATGTAGATAATGTGGTATAAGAAATTCTTTAGTGATCCAAATAAAGGATTTTAACTTTTTGTATAAACACGCATTAAAAATGTTGTTAACCATCCTGAACTACCAAGAAAAGTAACTGATACGTAGTATAATTTTGTTAACAAGATTACTACTCCCTCCGGATCTTTTTAAATTTCACAGTTTGACTTCACATTGATTAAGGAAATAAATTTGACTTTATTGTAGAGTACACTATTGAGACACTGTTTTGGCACTGTTTCGCACTGTTGAGACACTGTTTGACACTGTTGATACACTGTTTAGCACTGTTAAACACTGTTTTGATGTAGATTTCTTTGCCAAATAAGGAAATAAGGAAGTGTGAAGTTTATTTTGGACCGTCCCAAAAAGGAAAGTGTGAAGTTTAAAAAGAACCGGAGGGAGTATTATGTTTATGTGTATATTTATGATACATGTAATAGGTCAAGAAATTTGCTTTTTAATATGCAAAATAATTAATCCCGTGCATCGCACGGGTACAATACTAGTAATTTTTTACCGCCTAATAGTTTACTATATATATAAAAGAAATAATACATATGCATGGCTAAAATAAATGTGGTTGACACAATATATGATTTTCCTATAGTGATTATAGACTTATAGTACGTATTTGGTCATAATAGCTCAAATTCAATTTTTACACAAGTGATTGAGATTATAGGACACTAACTATTGCAAATAATTTTTACTTCAATAATACTTTTAATAGACCTCCATAGGGGGGGAGGTTGAACTTTTATTTTTGTAAGTTGGACAATAATGATGGATCTAGTCATCTATTATTACATAAGGTGAGAGCCATTGATAGGAAAACGGAAAACACAATTGCAACTTTTCTGATATCTTCCAATCAATATTGCTTTACTATATTTGAGACAGAGGAGTATGTCCCCAGAGCTGCACATATGATGCCCACAATCACGACTGCAATACTAGTAGCCCTCTGCAGCCAAAAAAGATTTGGGTGAAGAAAATGTCAACAAAATTAGTTTTTTTTAATACTCTGATTATTGAACACTTAAATTTTTGCCCTGCATCAGGGTTACTTATTCATCTTATCGTGTCAATAGGAGGGCTAAATTTGATCATATGTTATCGAATTTAGGTGAACAAAATGTCACATGTAATGCAACTAGGATAAACTAGGGGTGGACTGATATGAAGTTCTGAAACTGGACTAGAACCAGACAGCTATTTTACACTAGAACCGATGTCCAAAACCAGTCCAACACGGGTTCGCTTCCCATCCTTGGCTAAAAGAATGGAATTGGATCGCGAGTAAATGGACTGGAACTGGTTTTGAAGTTCCCAACCTCAGTCTCGGTTCTCGTGGGTGGGGGAGAAGGAACCAGCATGTCTGTAACAAGAGCTGGACTCGAACTGGTCTGAGTCCATCCTTTGGATTAACTGATAGAGGTTTAAACAATAAAACAAAATGTTTAAAGCAAGTAGTGCTTTTGAGGGATGTTTGAATCTACTTCTGAAAACTGCTTCTACCCCTTTAAAGTGTTTGGGTGATTCCGCTTTTAAAAAATAAAAGCAAAAGCGGAATCAATTGCAAACACCCTGAATCCATAAGTCACTTTCTCTTGGGTGCCACATAAGAAAAAGTAAAACCTTTTTTCTTTACTAAGATCAGGGTCTACCATAATGAGAAGACATGATACTATTTCAGTTAAGATGTTCATTATTATCTCTTAGAAAATTGACTTTAATAAGGTCACAACAACCTCATCCTAATATGAAAAGCAGGTGCCTTTTAATTTGCAGAGTATGGAGTATAAAAAGAGGTTGATTTTAAAGATGATGATAAAATTGGAAAAAACATTGTAGTCGAAAGACAAAAGGTGAAATTTTTCCATAATAATATAAAAGCATAACATCACATACAGTACTGTAATTAACTAGTAAAAACATTTTAGATGATGTTATAGACTAGCAACAGAAAAACATGTATATGCAACTTTCAAGCAAAGTTGCAGTTGTCTTAATTACCTGTGTGTTTGTAACTGTCTTACCCATGATCTTCAGAAAACACACACTCGGAACTATAACCGCCTGAAGTAATAACACCAGCATTGGGTAAAAAAACATTCAGCTCATCTCATAGAGATTTATAGACCAAGTATTTGAGTAGACTTGGAGCAAGTATAACTTCACAAGCCTTTCCAGACACTGGCAACATAATATTATCCCCATGAAAGCATAGTTAACACAATTATTTTCATGAACCTGACCCTATCATACTTGGGATTTAAGATAATGATAGTTTTGGAGATGTGCTTACCAGTAATATACTGAGAAGAGAGCCGATTAAAGCCATCACAAGGCCTGCAACACGAGTAACTCTTCGTGTTATGGCATGCATGGGTGTAGCCCAAATTCAGTAAAGACCATTCCTTTCATTTGTATTAGTTTTTATGAAAAAAAATAGAAATATTTCTCTTGTAGAGTTCACCCATATTTTCTCTCATAGCTATGTCACTAATGGAACGTGAAGGTGCTTAGTTGAAGTCCGCATACTCATATTATGAACTAAGGTATAGAAGCACATGAAGACTTTGAAGTTCACATAAAATTTCTACATTAAACGCTTCTATTGGCATGACTGAGATTTTGAATGTCTAAAATACTATTCTTACTCTTAACTCTTAAGCCTTATTAAGAGACCAATCATTTGAGGGTGCATTGTGAAACTTAAATATTTGTAGCACCTTTCAAGTTAAGTCAAATTAATCATTTGTACTGTTTCCTTTAATGTATGGCACAAAATCAAAAGAAATTTTGGTTGGGGACAAGATACATACCAAAGAAAGGAAGAAGAAATGCAACACAAACAGTTGAAATGAGAAGTAGTGTCCTTAGCATAATAAAACACAGGAAGCTTCTTGAGATTCTCTCTGGCAGCAACTCCTCCAAGGCTCTAGCCAATGGATTCATCATAAGTGCATATTTTGTGAGAGGGTTGATAACCTGTTGAACATAACAGAAACAACAACAAGCATATAAAATAACCAGAAAAGGCATATGTGTCTAGGCTAATAAAGAAAGGAATGTAGTTATGTAGTAGCCAAACACTTGCCGTTGTCCACACAGCAATCTTTGCAGGAATAGAATCAGGCGACATATTCAGAGTGATCTGAGACAGCGTGCTCTGACCGTATAATAGATATCCCATTACTGCCACACTCCCATATAGTGCAACACACAAAATAAAGCTGCATGACAAGATCCAGCATTATTTTTATAGCCCCAAAACCGAAACAACATATAAGAATTGGCATATGAGCCTCAAGCTGAGAAGTTAGAACCCAGGCAATACGATGAGGAAATCTATCTCTTAAACGAGATTAACTACGGACCGATGTGAATTATATCAATTTTGCTAATAGGGTGCTTCTTAGTGTCCTAATGAAACTAGATTCCATACCATATGATCATTGCCTTAGTGAATTGTTTTTTGTTGGCCATTGATCGGTAGATATTCGGGAAGACAGAATGTCCAGAATAACAAAATCCGTACACACCAATAGCAAATGGGATGCCACTCCAATTCACCAAGTGACCTGTTCGGGGCGTTCCAATTCCTTCTACAGCACTGAGTAACGCTACAGAAACTACAATTGCTATAGTTGCAACAACACCACAGGCTGCAGCATGAAGAAATTATTAAGTATCTTATTAGCTAATAATGCCAAGAACTACACTTTCAAGGTCTGTTTGTAATCCTGAAATGAAAATACCAGGGAGTGATCATACAAATGAAAACATAGAGAAATTTGATTATGTCGACTATTAGAAGACTAAATATATGCACTTTTGTTTAAAATGATCATGTCTCATTTCCCATTGCCCTTTACAAGGTACTACTAAACATAAGTACACCTATTCCCTTGACAAATTTCACCAGATTTTCCTTGGTCCAAACATACCCTTAACGATGCAGAAAAGGGAAATCGACAGGTGCACCTGAAAGATATGATATGAACCGAACATCCCTTAAAAAGAGGGTTGGTAGAACTATCAGAGCAGTTAGAAGTCCAAATAAATGTGTAGAATCCAGATTTAGACCCTTCCAGTTGAAGGAAGCTCCAGGAAATAAAGTTGTGAGATTATCTCCCTCCAATATGATAAACTCTACACAGTATGTCTAAAATAGTACAAAATAATACCTTTAAGAGATAACATTCATGCTAAGAAGCGCTAAACTGAATGCAATATTCACTTACATATAATTCTGTAAACAAAAGCATCTGTACAAAAAGCAAATGCATCATAATGTCAGCTAAATAAAAAAAAAACCAGGCTGTTTGAATGGTAACATTGTTACACTAGTCAAGATAAATGAACAGAAGAAGTAATATTATTCTTTACTGCATCAATAGATTTTCGGCTTTGCAGTTTAGGGATTCTTTTTTTTGAAAGATACAGTTTATGGATTCTATTAAGCTTGAGTTACACATCGAAATATGAAAAAGAAACACATCCGTTTATAAGGTAATGAGCTATACTAGCTAATCCATGTCCATTCAAATCTAGTTGAATATTATAGAACTTACAGATGTGATAATGCGCCCATATCTTCCGAACGCGGCCTCACCCATGTCAGGATAAGTTGCCACGCCATCTCTGCTCTCAAAACAATGCTTCATAAGAGACGCTGTATAGCAACAAGTAACAGCAAAAAAAACCAAAACCACAATGCTAGCCCAGCCAGCTTCTTTTATAGTGAAAGGAGTAGAAAGAAGCCCAACTCCAGCCATCACATTGAGCCCTAAACCAGAAGTTATTAGAGACTGATATGAGAATGCAGAATCATATACTTACTTTTGAAAGATATTACAGTATACTCTTTACTGACTTACCATTTATTACCGTTTGTGTGAAGCTACATCCGTGGCTAAGAGGATGCTCCCCCGTGAGTTTTTCATGAACAGAAGCTCCAGAGAGAAAAAGTGTCTTTTCATCAGAGTTAAGAAACCTTTTATTGGTATCATAAGGTGAAACTGTGGAGCTCGATCCACGCCTCAAAAGGCCTACGTTTGGTGGTGCAGCAATTGTGAATGAGTCACTTGTTTCCCTAGAAATCATAAAATGTAGGGAATGAGGCACAAGGTAGCAGCAATGACTTTGAACCAAGGACAAGAAGTTTGATTAATCCTAAGCATGGTCCTGAATATGAATGCATAAATATCATGAATCTAGAAGCTCCCTTTTATTACATTAATCTTGAAATTTGCCTGCTTTGAGGAGTTTTAAGGGTACTGAATTGCTTGTTTAAACTTTACAACCTCTCATATCACTCTTTCCATCAACAGTTCAAGACTTGATAGGCAAGTAATTGACCTAAATAGGAGTACCATATCATGCTTACTACTGCGTATTTCTTAAATAGGACTTAACATTACCTTTCTACTTCCAATCTAATAAATTAATAAAAAAAATTCCCTCAATTGGAGTAAAACACGGAAGAAGTGTAAACATAGAAATAGGTTTTGAAAAGGGAAAATCGCACGTTTAATCCCTGAAATAGTCACCATATTAAAATGTCAGACTCATATTTAAGAGATGGTAAATGTCACCGGTCAATTGTCCAAATTGTTGTAAATGTGATCCTTTGATGGGTGAAATGTACTCTTCTCTCACATTGTACATTTCACCTCTTAAAGGATCACATTTACAACATTTTGGACAATTGAGGGGTGACATTTACAAACTTGGGAACACGGGCCTCACATTTCAATATGAAGACTATTTCAGGGACTAAAAGTGTGATTTTCCCTTTTGAAAATTCTCCAAATAGAAGACTTTTTCATGCTTGGACAAGGATACCCTTGCAGGGTTTGGTCCAACCACAACATTGCCTCCGGCTGCGTCGTCGTGGGAAATTTGCCACCGCCGGAAAATATCCAGAATTTAACCGCCACTACCTTGACATTGCCACCGCCGCCGCCGCCCAATTTACCCCTACTCGCCGGAATACAAAGCAGCTGAAATTCTCCAGAATTCATTCGCCACCAACCTGCCGCCGCTGCCCAATCTGCCACTGGTCGCCGGAATCCGCCGCCACCAAAAATCTCCAGATTTCATTTGCAACTAGTCTCAACTAGCCTGACGCCACCTTTGCCGGCCACCGGAGCTCGGCCAGCAAAAGACCGACTTGCTTATGCAAGGAAACTAGGAGGACAATTAATTAAATTATATAACTAGATTAAGGGTAGAAATTTAATGTTTAGTCGAAAATATATACTTATTGGCTTATTACACAAAAAAAATCCCGGTTGGGGTTATTGATCAAATTAGTCTATTGTATATATTTTTATAGGGAAAATCGCATATATGGTCCCTCAGTTATCCCCAGATTTAAAATTTCAGACCCGAGTTTCTCAGATTTCAAATTACACCCCCGAGTTGGCCAAATTAAATTAAATGTGGTCCCCGCCGTTAGAAGTCAAGTTAACAGCGTTAAGTCTTCGTTTTCTTCAAGGGTAAAGGTGTAACTTCCCATATTTAATCTTTAAATACTTAAAATAAGTATAAACCTTCATTGTTTCGCATAAGCTAGCCTTCATTCGTCCATCCGTCGCGAGATTTCTCCAGCTGCTCCGCCATTGTCAATGTCAAACGATTTGGTGTTCCCTTTGGTGTTCTTGTTTTATGTCTTTCTTCTTTTCTTTATTTCTTACTTGAACAAGATATATACTTGAGCTTTGGTTAGGAGACTTACACTTCGGAGTGGCATTTAAACTATTTAATCTTCGACTGGTCATTCTTCCCTCTTCCTCCGTCACAGCTTGGACCTTCAACCGAAAGCTTCGTTTTCAGAAAACTTTCAAAAAAGCTAACCTTAAAAACGCAACCCATGCCCAACGGAATCTTCGTTTTCAGAGAAGTATTGGCGGTAATGAAGTTGGGAGTGATAATCGTGATAAAGAGTTAATGTAATGAGGGTTGAAATGAAATTAGGGAGTTAAACGTTGAAGGAAGTGAATTTACGCCTTTGCCCCTCAAAAAATGGAAGACCAGCTGCTGTTAACTTGACTTCTAACGGCGGGGACCACATTTAATACAATTTTGCCAACTCGGGGGTGTAATTTGAAATCTGAGAAACTCGGGTCTGAGATTTTAAATCTGGGGATAACTGAGGGACCATATATGCGATTTTCCCTATTTTTATATAAAAGAATCATCGTTTAAATACTCAAGACAAAACTATGATCCCTCTTACTTTATTCATAATTATTTAAAAACATTCATTATTGATTTGGTCAACGTGTGAATGTGTCATTATTGATTTTATTCGTCCCTCAATTGTCATAAATGTTGTAAATGTGGTCCTTTTAGGGGTGAAATATAAAATGTGGACGAGAGCACATTTCACCCCTTAAAGGACCACATTTACAACATTTTGGACAATTAAGGGGTGACATTTACAATATCATAAATATGGGTCCGACATTTCATTTTCGTGACTATTTCAGGGACTAAAAATGCGATTTTCCCTTTATTTTATTAAGAAAACTATACTACGTATCATCTACACTCCAAATCTGCTCAGAGCACCGACCTTGCTCTCTCTAATATCTCGATGTATAGAATACATCTATAATGACAAGAATCAATTGAAAACTGTTAGACTAATGTAGTTATATCTACAACATCGATATGAGAATATGAGATAATTATGCTTCCAAGCGATAGACTAATTTAGTCATTACGCCCAAACGCTGGATTTGTTTTGTATAATAAGCCTACTTATATCTATGTTTAATAAACGAACCGGACCAGGCGGGTCGACCCCGAAACCGGCAAACCGGTCCTTTTCCCGGTTCGGTTATCAATTAACCTGCAAATACCACAAAAACGGGTTAAATGCATAAATGATACCTCAACTATTATATCGGTAGTGTTGCATTTTGGTACCTTAACTCTTAAATGAATCAAAGCGGTACCTTAATTATACATAAATGTTTCGAATTGAGATTTTATTTAAATTTCCGACCAAAAAATTACACGCGGCGGTCAGAATTCTATGCGTAAAGTCTACTTCACCTTATATTTGTCCATATGATCACTATAGGGTGACTCTACACATGAAATTTTGATCGTCATGAAGGACTTTTTTGGTTAAAAATTTGAATAAAATTTCAATTTGAAACGTTTATGTATAGTTAAAGTACATTTTGATTCATTTAAGAGTTAAAGTACCAAAATGCAACATTATCAATAGTTAAAGTACTATTTATGCATTTGACCCCACAAAAACCAGAAAAACCCAGCAACCAGGACCCGGACATAATCCGGACCGCTTGGTAACTGGAAAACGCAAACAATCAGGAATCCAGCTTTTGCAAAACTCCTTCCCTGAAGACCGGTGAGAGAGATTATGTCGCAATCCAAATTACGAATGCATATTTTTGAAACTCAAGGCTCTTAAGGCAGGGGCAGATCCAGCACTGATGTTCAGGTGGGGCCAAAATTTAACTAAATAAAAAAACATCAAAATGTAGTAAAATATTATGTACACTGTACTTAACATTTTTTTTCATACGTAGTATATAAAATAACATACTACGTATGTTGCAACAAAAATGTCAAAGAAAAAAACAAATGTTAAAGAAAAAACACCTCAAATTTACAACTATTCTTTAATGATTTTCATGTGAATACAAAAATTAGAATTATATAAAGATATAAAGCTGAAAGAATGACAATATAAAGACCAAAATAATTAAAGGGTTAAAACTTGATATTGATGTTAAGCTTGTACAAATTGATGGAGATCATGTGAAAATAGAAAAATGTTTGAAGTAAGAATCCGGTATTGCAGTATGGCCCGTGGGAAAAGAGATTTGGAGGGGGGAAATGAAATCCTTAAAACAAATTAAAACAAGTGTGCTTCCATCTCACCCAAGTAGCTTGTAGTTACATTTTGACTTTTCCTATCTTTATACACTTTCTATAAAGCGCTATATATTATACATACTAGCGATTACTCGCGCAAGGCGCGAGAGTGTTTGTCCAATATTAAATTAATGTTGTCTTTTGCAAAAAAAATGTCATATGCAAAATTGTTAGAAGAGTTTCGTAAATAGCTACTGAAATTTACATAAGCCCCTTTGGTTACTCTGTTTTTCGTCTTATTAGGCTTATCGGCCAACTTTTTAACCAAACACACGTAATTTTTTTCGCGTGCTGAATTGAGTAATAATAACAAAAAGTAAGGTTGTAGTTACTTTTATAGCTGTATTGGCTGAAGTTACTATAGATGACTATTTTAGCTATTCTTCCATATATTTTTTATTTATTTTAGGAAAAATTGAAAATAATAATCCCAACTATTGCCGGTCCGCTAACAATAATCCCAACTATTGATTATTTTTGTATAATCCCAACTATATGGACCATCCGCTAATAATGGTCCATGACCAAATATTACCTTCTATAAAAGTGAATTTTAAATAGAAATTAAGCGTAAAAATTAAAAGTTAGGATTATTTATAGAGATTATTTGTTATATCTCTTCTCATCCACTTTAGAAAGTACAAGAATTTATTTACATGGACTGTTATTGGCAGAAGGACCCTAAAGTTGGGATTATTCTGAAATAATGGATAGTTGGGATTATTATAAGCGGACCGCCAATAGTTGGGATTATTACAATCAAATTTTCCTTTATTATATTAATGAAATATATTTTAGCTATAATATATTCATAAATCAGCAGAATCAGCCCAATACAGTCATTTCAGCCAATTTCACCAGAATCAACCAATTCAACCAATTTCAGTGTTACCAAACAGGTTCATCATAACGTATAATTTAAAAATTGTCGGAATAATTATATTCCATGTCAAGCAATTATTGTGCAGAAAATATCTGATTATGCAGTTCATTCTTCATCAATTTTAAGAAATACATTACGAATATTAATGTAAGTATCATCCAAATGCATATAGTTGTGCACAAACCATTTTTATGAGCAATAAGTATTTCACATTTCCTGATAAGGTTGTAATCATATGTGTTTGCAGTAATAAAAGATTACATTTAAGCCACATATTTAGCTATGTAGCATCGACCTTAGATAGGAAAATTATGTCTGTTAATTCACAGGTGAAACATTTCTTATATTGAACATATAACATGTAATTGTAACAATATATTTTTTCCAAAAATATACGGAGTAATTTATATATTTAGAAAGTACAAGAAAATTTATTATAATGCATAAAATTAAATGAAATTTAAGTATGTTAAGAAAAAAAAGAATAAATTTGAAATCGTAAATCATTACAAATTATAAAGTGAGTGAGAAGTACATAGCTACTGATAGAATATTAAGATAATACAACAATAAGTTCACATCCTGACATCCCAAGAAAATGAAAAGAATAATAAAAGAAATAGAATAAAATAAAAAGAAGAAGGTGGCATGGCTATCCTATAATGCTTCTTTACTTCTTTTGTAGATGGGATATACGTAATATATAGAGATAAAGAAAACTACTTCGTGTGATGGTGCGGTTGTCGTTTAATGAAACAGGCAATACGTTGTTCCCATTGTGCGCATGAGCTCATATACAAAAAGAAAACTACTTTGTATTACGAAAGTTAAGAGCTCACGGACCGTAAGGGTAAAATAGCCCATGGAAGAAATAGGGTTTCATCTTCTAATAACAATGTACAACATCTTATGCACTAAGTGTGTTGACATAATTCAGGGGTACCAACTCTCATTCATAGTTATATTGTTGTTAGATATATACTAGTAAGTTTTTTTTAGTGTGGGCCTAGGCCCTCCCTGGACCTAAGGCAGATCCGCCCATGTCTTAAGGTATTTCATATTAGTGAGTATGTTAACATGGCTGTTTTTTTGGACAATAAGCATAATCAATATATAATTAATATATAATGTAGTAATACATATTGCTTTTATTATTGTCCTATCTTATTAATAAATAATTATTATTGTCCCTCATATATTGTCTCGTTTTACCTTTTCGGGAAATCTCACTAAAATTGTCTCATACCATATTTGGTAAAGTTTGTGGGGTTCTAAATCATTCTTACTATATTCTTACTTTATCAACCACACAAACTCACTTTTCTTAATAATCGTGCCACCCTCTTCCGTCCCAATATAAGAGATTAAGAGGGACAAAGGTAGTATATAAAAATCAAATATAAATTAAAATGCTTACAAAATATATTTAACATTTATTAATAAGTGTAATTTTTCAAATTGTCTTAAGACAAAGTTTGCTATATATTTAAATATTTACTATAGATAGAAAATAAAATGTAAATATTTTATGGATGTATAAAATAAATATTAAATACTACTATTGATTCAAATAGGCCTAAAATTATATTTTAGAATATGATGAATGTGTGAATATATTGGAATATTAAGTATTAAAAAGTGTTTAAGGGTTTTTTCAATACTATATTGAAATATTCAAATATTTTAAAACTAAAAAAATATCTTATAACAATTTTAAATATAAAGAAGTTGCTGACTAAATATTATTATTATTTTATCATAGTGAGGAATAAATATTTTAATTATTTTGAGTATATTAATATATGTATATAAAATGGTATATAATTGTTGAGGTTTATTCCTTCAATCCGGGGGTCTGACACGTAACCCAAGGATTTTGAGTGGAGAGTGTATGAAGTTATGAAGTGCAAGAAAGTAAGATGTGTTGGTATGTCTGTAGCAGTGGGCCGTATCTTATTAATTGATAATAAGGGTTCGTATACAACACACTATTGCTACCTGACCTGAGGCCGATCGTCTATCTCGTTAGGGTAGAGTTGAGATTAAAGCTAGAATGCTAGGGGGAATAAGTTGCCAACCTTTTACAATGAAATAAATGCTACGTAGTACTATTTATACTACCAAGGGGTAGGTAGATCCACTGACGTGGAGGGATGTGGCTGGCTAGGTCCCAATCACCAAATCTTCAACATTAAATGCGCCTCCCGCCAATATCTTGATTTCCCGCCAAGGTTCGTGGACGATCGTCTCAGCACGCTGGGTTCCCTTCTTCCCTAGGGTAAGGGCATGGCACCGAGCGTCCTCTGTGCGTCCTCTAGTTATAGATGTTGGAGTGCATTGGATAGCCTTATTGGTTAAGGCCCCGCCTCCCGATCGTCCTCAGAAGAAACAAACGTCGTCTGGGGCCTTAGATCATTGCGGATAACTGCCCTGGGTGGGCCACAACCTGGAGACGAGTGTCTGGTGCTCCTTTCCGGTTGGGCCTTGGTGCTCTTCATTAAGGGGATAATGGGCCGACCCCTGGTTGGGCCATTAACCCAAAAATTATTTTATCATATATGAATATATTAATTATTTTATCATATGATGAATGTATATTAAAATTGTATATAAAAGTTGACGGGGTTTTCAGGCGTAGATCGGGTTGACCCGCCGGGTCCGGGTTAAGCCGTGACCCGATCATTCGTCCGGGTCAATTCCCGGTCCGGTTTTTACAACATAGACTTATATAGCATAAACTCCTATTTAGGAAAAAGGAGCATGTTTTACTCCTATTATGAGCAATTATTTTAATTATTACGGAGTATAATTAATTGACATTGACTCATTTGCATAATAAAAGTCAGTGCGTCGATGATGGCGGCGACCGGAGGCGGCGACATGAAGTGGCGCAGATCGAACAGCGGAGGCAGCTTCGGCGGGGCTAATCCAACTCTGCAGGGTAGATCCAACTCTGGAGGGTATCTTTATCTAAGCATGAAAAAAACTCATATTTGGAGAGTTTTAAACACTAACTCCTATTTTTGCACTTCACTCCTATTGCAGCAGTTAGCTTATACTTATTCAGAGCTCGTTTGGTAATACCAAAATCGGCGAAATTGGTTGATTCTGCTGAATGAAGTGGCTGAATTGACTGATTCTGCTTGTTTATGGAAAAGTTGTACTTAAATTATATTTTATTAATAAAACAAAGAAAAAATATATGTAAAAATAGCTAAAATGGCCCGCTACAGTAACTTCATCCAATACAGCTAGAAAAGTAACTCCAATGCTACTTTCTCTTATTATTACACAATTTCAGTGCGTGAAATCAAAAGTTACGCATTTGGGAAAAATTGGTTGATAAGTTTGTTAAGCTGAAAAAAATGGGTTACCAAACGGGCTCTCAATCTGAGTTTAATCTCTTAACAAAAGTCACAAAATTTCAAATTTTGACATTCAAAACGGACACTAGAATCAACAAAAATGACCACACATAAATATGTTTCCATACAATTATTTGAGCTGCTAACATTGTAAAACGCCAAAACACAATAAGCAAAGTAAACAAGTGAAAGCTAAACAATAGAAAGCAGAGCTGAACAATAGAAAGCAGCGCAGTTGTGGGGCGCATAACAGGAACAAAAACCTGAAACTTTGTGGCCATTGCTGGGAGAAGAATAGAGAAGAAGAGGAAGAGGAAGCCAACTTTTGTTCACTAAAATCATCTCCACCTTTATCATCATCATAACCATGAACATCATCATCATGATAATCATCACCACCACTTGTGTTTGATTTACTCTCGACATTACCTTCATGGTCATTCTCGAAGAAGTACTCCATTAAGTCATTAGCATTTTTTGCCATGCCCACTACTCTCAAGTCTCACTATACAAATTGTCCTAATGTGAAATCATTCATAGTACGGTGCCTATGTTGTGTGTATATAAATAAGATGTGAGACTTATATTGAGAATTCTTTGGTGTACATGAAATTTGTACAGATTTCATACATATTTGTACGTAATTGTATGTGCACACATATAATGTTGCATTAGTTGTCTGTGTGCACGGGCAACTAAACCAACTAGGAATGTAAATATCATCTGTTGAAAGTTATAGACAATTACGTACAAATGTGTGTGAAATGTATATAAATTTCATATACAAATAGAATTTTTCGAGTAATATACTCTCCCCATTAACGGCGCACGTACGTACGTACACATATTGGGCGACCTGGAAGACTTTAGTTTCAATCAGAGAACGATTAAATTGGTACTTCTGTCTGAAAATAAACGACCCGGACACGAAATCAACTTTTGTGAGTTTGTCCCAAATATTAGTACGGAATTTTTATTTAATGTGTACGGAGTAACCTAGACTTGTACAAAAAGTGTGAAAGTACTAGGTTTAATTAAACGACACTAATAAAAGTAACCTAGACATGTGCACAAAGTGTGATAACATTAGGTTTAAATAAAGTGGTAGACGTGACTATTATTATATAAATATAAATAGTTTTTTTAAATATTACTAACAAAAAGTTATGAATAAAAATATTACACAATAATGACTCCGTAATACTGTAATAGTCATCATAATTGTGTTCAATTTACATCGTAGTAACTCATATGTAATTACTATGATGTAAATTTAAACACAATTAGGTAACTAATATTTAGTAAGTAATATTTTAGTCTACACAATTTTAAGAGTAATATAAATAGAATTTTTTCATATAGGTATTAGGAATCAGGATATAAATATTATCTATAGCTTTGTGGAATAAAAAAAGTGACCGTTTTCCGTTTTTTTCTAAAATATAACTGAATTTTGTTTAATTAATTCATTTTTTTCATTGTGATTTATATCAAGTCTCTGCCCCAATTCCTTCCCCCACACCTGCCCAGCCGCGGCCAGATCTGCAGCTAGAAAAGTTGGCGGGAAATTTTCGTCTTTTTTTCAAATGTTACTGGAAAAAGTCAAATTTTTTTCAACAATCATAAGACTTGACATAACAATACATTGAAGTCTTACAATTGTAAGACTTCAATATATATAAGACTTCATAAAATTCTTATGTATTTGTTCGCCCTCATTGAAGAGGGTGATGTTCTGTTAAAATGTCCCACACCGGAAAAGTTTGGATGAACGAAGTGCTATATTAACACATGAGTTACTCTTCCTAACAGGTTGACATTTTAGGATGGAACCCCGAGTCTTAACATGGTATCAGAGCCAAATCGATCCATGGTGTGGGACCCCTTATGAATCGTGATGACACGATTACAAAAAAAAATGACAATTACGGCCGGATGAAAAAAAAGGACCGATGAAAAAAAAATGAATGAAGGCACGATCAAGACGAAGTGTCTGGTCATGAGAAGTGGTGTTAAAATGTCCCACACCGGAAAAGTTTGGATGAACGAAGTGCTATATTAACACATGGACTACTCTTCCTAACAGGTTGACCTTTTAAGATGGAACCCCGAGTCTTAACATGTTCACCTCTACCCCTATTGTGCTGTCATGTAGGTGGCATGGCAATACTTTTTAGTTTTGCAATTGTTATAACCTTTTCAATTTGTTCAATATTTTTATTATCTTTCTAATGGTACCAATATTACATACAAAACATGAAAAAAAAAATATATTTTCTCTAAATGTCAACTGTAAGACTTTAATAAAATTGACATAACCAAACAACTCCTCAATGGGAGGATGGAGCTAATATTAGAGTTTGAGTTGCATAAGAATCCTATATGATAAGATTTCTGACCTATATATGAAGGAATTATAAATATAATAAATTAAATTATTACACCCCAAGCTGCGTAGGAAGAACTACGTGCAGATTACCTTTCAAAAAGTTGAAACATTGAGAATATATATATAAGAGTTACCTCCTATATATATATTCTTCATAAAGATATATGCAAGCTAAAGCTAAGTAGGAAAATATTCAACGTCAAGATCATAATGATTCATTGAACACATATGAGGTAGAGATATTATCATATAAAATGGAACGTATGTGAATAATATCTTGAGATTTGTAGGTTGTTTCTTAGACCACAAGGCCACCAGATTAGAACCAAGAAAAACAACATAATTAGATGTGAAACGATTACTACTTGGATAACATCTAATCCGCATCAGAGTAGGCAATAATAACTACTGGACCCACAGAGAGTCGAAGAAATAAACCATGGCTAGAAGTTTCTTGTACTTATCTGAAAATACGTTTAACAGTCAAAACGCGTGAAGTATGAAGAACATTATAAATTGGGAAACTGAGTGTACAACATATGTAATATCTGGCTGACGGCACTAAATTCATCATGTACCTCAAAATAAATTCACCACTAAGAGCTAGTACCATAGTATAACGTAGTACATTTCGTATCTACAGAGAAATGTGTTTTTCGCGTGTGTGTAAGCGTAAGAAATTTAAGTAAATGGAAGGGGTGTTTGAATGTTGTGATAATTTAAAAAGCAAATTAAACACTAAGATGAGTTAAATGAAATATCAAAGGTAATCGGCATTGGTTTTGCTATTTTTCTCTTAGTGAAGTGCTCGTTGATCATTGTTACCACTTCAACTCTCTCCATTTGAATACTTAATTGTGCAGATTACATAGTCCATTTCATCAAGGGTAATTAGTAATAAGGAGATGCGTTCTTTAATAACACTTACTATATATTAATTAGTCAATATAGAACAAACATGATATATTGATCTCAATAGTAGCATTAAGTCGATTCATTGAAATCAACTAAAAACGATAACTTGTAACCCGAGGTGTGTATTTTCGACTGTCATAACGATAATCTCAGGTCCAGCTATCCAATCTAATTCATCCATTGGTCATCTAATAAAATCAATTAAGATTGATAACTTCAACACAAGCAGTTTTTTGGTTCAATCAATATAATTACTCCCTCTTAGCTTATTAACCGTAAGATGCATGCATTAGTAATCTAAGGATATTACCTATGAATGGACCAAGTGAATAACAAGCATATTCATTGACCGATTCTAGTAATAATCAATATGAAAACATCAAGTAATTGATTACTTAGTAATGCTCAAATATCAATATGAAATATGAATAGGGAAATAATTAATATTTAAGAGAGGATGATTAAAGAAATAACTCACAACTTACTAATCACAAGCTTAAATATAGCAAAACTAAGCTTAAAAGACTACCTAAATTACAAGAATAAGGTCCATATGAAAGAGGGGAAAGAGGTGGTGTTTTTATAGGAGAAATGATCTTGTTAAGTCATCCGGATATTTTTGGCAGTAGCTACGAAAGTGCTAAAATCTAGTCATACCCGACCGAGTATACGATCAAAGTCTGATTTTCCCATGTTTTCTTGCTTTATGTGATCTAGTATGATCCTTGGGTCAAATCATATTCGATCGAATATTGGATATACCCGACCGGGTGTGTGACCAAATCGGATTTTTCATCTTTCTTTGTCCCATGAAGCTCCTTTTGTTTTCAAGCTCCTTCTTTATGCTCTCAAGCTCCTTCCTGTTGCTTTTCCTTCATGTTTTTTGTTAATATGTCAAAATCTCTTAATATCTTCTAATTCTAGTCTTATTTAGAAGACTAGATTTTGGGGCGCGTGTTGCACGATAGGCTAAATGTCCACTATAATTTAGTATAGCATTTTTCTAAAGACTATTAAACTATTATTTGATATGGTAACTTTATGTGTGGTCGTGATCCTAATTAAAGAGTTAAGGCATCCTTACTGCTACCACTTATCCAGGCATCGAAAACCTATCAGGCACCATGATAGGGGGAGAAGGGTGAAATTTTAGGGAAATAATAGGGCAATAAGACATATATAAACCAAGTCGTTTCACTCGGAGGCATCTTCTATGACCTAGTAGGGCTCATTGGAGCATTGGAGTACATCTAGGTGCCCAATCCTGGTAGGGATCCCACCGCGTTGTTGCACTCAGAGACATCTTCTGCCTCTTCTTCCTCCGGGTACTAATCTTGTCAGGACTCGTCTAGTTATATGATGGCTAGCCTATGTGCTTGAGGGCAATAGGACTTCCATCTATAGATTGTCTACTTGTGAATCATTTTGTTAGTATCCTTAGGTGACCAATGAAATCATAATCTAACCATCGAGCATACAGATTGATAGAGTTGGAACTCGGAATTCAAAGAAAGATGCAGACGGAAAAAAATAAACACAAGGATAACTAACAGAAGACGATAAGATCTTGAGTGTCAATTAATAGAAGCCACAAGGACCGGACAAAGGAAACATAAATGGTGCAATGCTTTAAGCAGAATTCGCAAATTAATAATGCTATAGAGTTACACCAACAAAACTTTCATACCCAAAAGAGTATTAAATCTCATTCATTCTTATTAATTAGTTTCTAGAGATAAAGATTACACCCTAATTGTACAACACACAAGTAAACACAATGTAATATCATTCTAAAATGTGATGTTCATGAACTATTAATTAAATATCACATATCACTGGTCGAGTCATAGTTTAACATTGTAATGCACTTACCATACATCTATACTGTGTAGGATATGAAAGAAGCCTTCAAATGAAAATCTTTTAATAGATGAAGACCATATATATTGAGAAAGAAATAGACCTTGAGAAGTACACATTGCCTAAACACCATGAAAAATTGTAAATCCCCTAAATCTTTCATAGCTAAATATTTGCAAGCAAATTAATAAACTAGCCTATGAATGAGGAGGAATTACGGGTAATAATAACACAATCAACATGCAATAATAAATAGAGAATGTGAGAATCGCCATGAAAGATCGATAAACAGAGAATGATTATACCAACTACAAGAAAAATCGTGACTCGAAAGGAACCTGCTAAACCTATGAAAATAAGCCCGTTGAGCGT